CCCAGCCCCGACCCCAGCCCCCGCCGCACCCTGTGGGATCTCCTCCTCCACAGCCCCGGGCGCGTCCTTCGGGAACTGGAGCAGGTTGTAGAGCGGATCGGGCTCCATCTTCCGTCGGGTGGTAGTGGCTGCGGGGACAGTTGGGCGTCACTCGGGAGGTGCTGGGCCGGGACAGGACCCCAGGGAGGAGGCGGTGGAGCCAGGCTGGCGAGCGTGGACCAGCGCCCTCGGGCCGGGGGTGCTCCTGCAGCCCCCACCCCACCCCGCCCAGGGCCCCAGCCCAGCTCCGGGGACGGAGTTGGAAGCTCCAGGCCCCCAGCCCAGCTCGGCCCAGGAAACGGCCCTCTGCCCCCTCCCCTGTGTGGAGGTGAGCCTCGGTGGGGTGCGCTGGCATCTTTGGGGACCCCAAGGTGTTGAAGTGGCTCGCCCCCCCCCAGGGCAGCAGCTGCTTCCCCGGTGCCCAACTTCCGCTTTGCCACCCTCCCTCTCCCCACCCCGGCGCCTTCCTGGCCTTCTCAGCTCAGCTATGAGATGGGGAGCAAACCCAGAGCTGGGGGGAAGAAGAGCATTTGCAGGGCCCTGGAAACCGCATGCTGGGGGAAGACACAGACAGGCATGGCCCCGGGCCCCACCTCCAGGCTGGCAGGGGAGAGGAGGCCTCCTAGGCCTGGCCACCGCCCGCTCCTCCCAGAGAGGCTGTGTGACGCTGGGCAGACCTCCTCCCCTCTCTGGTCCTGCCAGGGCGGGCTGGAGGGGCAGACGGACGCTGCTCTGGTGCCAGACGCTTGGCCTGGGCGGCTCCTCTGGAGAAGGCTGGGCGGGAGCAGGCCGTGGGCAGGCCGCCCGGGGGTGACAGGGGCTGCCGGGCTGCACCGCGGGGCGGGGAGAGGCCTTCCGGGCCGGGCCGCGCGGGGAATGTGCGTCCGAGCGGGTGGTGGGACTTGGGGCTGCCCTCTGGGGGCTCCCCTCGCCAGCCACCTGCCGAGATGGGGTTTCTCTGGCCCCACACCTCACCTGTGGGCAGGAAGAAGGTTCCAGCAGCTCAGGGCCAGGGTGCCCGAAGGACTCACCTGCAGCCCCCTCCGTAGCAGGCGCTGGCAGCAGCCCCGCCCTCACTTCCTCCGGAGGGGCCCACTTCCTCCAGAGGCCCCGCCTCCTCCTTGCCAACTCCTGGAGGACGGTGGCTGGCCTCTGACATGGGGTGGGACATTTCCCACTTTTCTCCCTCCTCCCCTCCCCCAGGCCAGGCCCTCCCCATCCTCCCCTGCTATGCTAGAGATGGGGGGGGGGGCGGGGGGATGGGGGTATTCTGCACTGGGCCATCAGCAGGTTGTCTGCCACTTCGGCCATCGTGGTGGTCTTCCGCCACTCACCATCATGGGCCCGCCCTCCTCCTTCGTGGACCGCCCGGGACTTGACACCAGAGGGGTCACGCTCCACGTCTCAAGGCAGGGCGGGTGCATCAGTTAGTCACCACTGCCTAACAAAACAGCCCAGAATCGAGCGGCTCGAATCAACAGGTCTCCTGGACATATGGCTGGGCCAGGCACTCCAGGACAGACGGGCAGTTTGGGCTGGCCAGCTGGCATCTGATTATCTACAATGGCCTCACTCCAAGCTGGAGAGCCGGTGGGCAGAGTTGGCGGGCTCTCTGGCAGGCTGGTCCGGCTCGGCCACAGCAGACTGGGCACACACAGCGCTCTCCAAATCTCTATTGGCATCCCTCCTCGAATCGTCCCCTTGGCCAGCACAAGCCCAGATCCAAGAGCAACTCCAGGCCCCGACGGATGGACAGACAGACGGACTGGTTGGTGGGGGCTGGTGGTAAATACACCGCAAGGTCGTGCGGGGCCATCGGGCTGTGGACAGTGGAGCCCAGAGTCCTAGGATTCACACGGAGCAGCCGCACAGGAAGAGCCGCTCAGTCGTGCCCAGGCCGGCCGGAGGCCTGCATGGAGGCTGCAGCGGTCACGGCATGGGGTGCCCCATTCTCGCTCCCCCCACCCGTGGCAGTGCCCTGGGGAGCTGCCCCTTCTCTGGGCCTCGCCGCCATCGCCCACCCTTTCCAGGATCAACACCTGTGCTGGCCTCTGTCACTGAATTTGAACCATGTGACTGGAGGAGTAGGGGCGGCAGGGGTCAGCCCAGCGCTGTCCCTGACCACGGAACGCAGGCCGAACAGGCCGCACGGAAGGTCGTGCGTCATCCCCACGGCGGGCATTTGTAACCACAGAGGGAGACATTCGGGACAGAGCATTCTCTGTCCTGTTTCGGGGCCCTGAACAGCATACCAGGCTCCGCCAGCAGCTCACCATCCCAGAGGGTGACGGAACAGGGGACAGGCTGGCTAGGGGCGGCTGACCGCTGGAGAGCCCAGCAGGGACAGCTCGGCCCCTCCCAGTCCTGAGCTGGACGGTTGGCATGAGCTAGCCGCCAGCCCCCACACGTGCAGACAGCTGGCTCCAGACTCGTTTTGTCCATAGCCTGCTGCTTTCTTTCCAGCCAGCCTAGAATGTTCATTCGCCTTTGTAAATAGCGTTTGTCCAGTCCCAGCCCAGGCCAGCCATCCTGCGGCCAGCTACAATTTTAGAACCGTTCTATAGAGGAAACCACTGTGTTGGATGCACCCCAGACCTTTGTCCAGGCAGGAGAATCAATGCCAGACCACCCTGCTGGCTGAGCTCAGGACCGTCTGCTCCTTCTAGGACAGACAAGGGGACCAGCCTCGCCAAGTCACCGTCCACTCTGGGTCAGCATGCCCACACAGGCTGGCGTGTGTGTACCCGCAGCCCTGGCACAGAGCCAGCACAAACACCACCACCAAACTCACGAAGACCCATGGCCGTAAAAGACAAAGCTCAGCCAGGTGCCACAGTGTAACCCCAGCTCCTCAGGAGCCTGGGATCTGAGGATCACAGTTCAAAGCCAGCCCAGACAGGAAAGCCATGAGACTCTTGTCTCCAGTTAGCCAGCAAAAATGGAAGTGGGGCTGTAACTCAAATGGTAACGTGCCAGCCTTGAGTAAAAATGCTGAGGGACAGCACTCAGGCAGACACACGCACACGCACACACACACACACGCACACATGCACACACACGCACACACGCACACACACACACACAGGCTGCCCGTGCGCTCCAGAGCTTTATGGGTACACATCTGCGGCCTGCCATATGGCCTCCACAGCCATCTCAGGCGCAAGCAGTACTGGGTGCTGGGTACTGGGTACAGGGTGCTGGGTACTGGGTGCTGGGTTCAGTGGGTGTGGCGAGCTCTACCTCCTGCGGTCAGCTTTCTATTTGTGGCTTTGTATGTAACACTAAGAAGTAAATGCTGCTCAGAGCAGTTTAAAAGTTGGTAATACGCTGGCACATGAAGGGAGGGGAACACATCCAGGTGGTGAATTGGTCAGGACATGGCGGAGGGGGGCACAACGTCACCCGGGAAGGAGGGGGTGTGGTCGTGGGTGGTGTGGTCGTGGGTGGTGTGGTCAGTCGTGGGTGGTGTGGTCGTGGGTGGTGTGGTCGTGGGTGGTGTGGTCATGGGTGGTGTGGTCGTGGGTGGTGTGGTCCTGG